TTCACCAATCCGTGTGTAGCGAGAGCTCAGTAAATTCACAGGGGTAGGACTGAAATGATGATGTGCATTTTTAAAGATTGTATAGTAATACACTACAAAATACGATTTTCATTTAAGAAAAATATATTAAAGGATTATGTGTATACATATATAATTTTTGAAAGTGAAGTGGTATTGACTTAAATCCCAGGCAAAGCATACCAGTGTATTTTAAAGGCTGAGCAATCCCTCTCTCTATTACTTGGGTGTTATCAGTGATCTGGAATTAAGCCAGGGCTGCAGGAGTCAATGGAATATGCATAGTCTCCCTGACTCATCCTAATTCAATTACAGGGGGACTGTGGGTTGAATTTGGTTCCTGAGAGGAGACTATAAGAGAAAAATGAGGCTTATCCATTCTGCCCTATATTAGTAAGTCTATTTATGTGCACATTATGTAACAAGTTGGGCTCTTAGAAGAATGTCACGTGAGTTTATTTTTTAAAAAAAGAAAAGAAAAAGGACGGAAAAAATATAGGCATGCAGAAGTGGGAGAGAAGAATAGGAATGGAAGTTATTAGGATCATGTTTCAGGTACTATGAAGTTCTGTTTTCAACAATATACTCTTATTGAGAATGTATTAAAGAGAATAAAGAAAAAAAACTTGTACAATATTTATTTTAAATTGAGGAAGTTCTAATATCTAAGAAAATCACTTTCCCAATTACCTTTGGGCAAATGCTATTGTGCATTAAATGAGTTCTTATCTCAACATTTCTCTATATCTATTTTTAAGAGTAAATAGAGGTGCTTCTGAATAGTGTGCATGTAATTTCTGAATTTGGGGGCATTTTATTTTATGTAAATATGAATAAAATAGATCATACTTGATATTCTAACAGTTCTTACCTACAGAAAATAAATGTTCTACCGACAAGAAATAGAAAGTTTTCTGTTACATTTCGCATGAAATTATATGACTTAAAAGTGAAGAAAGAGAGAGAGAACAAATATATATATTCCAAGGAAAGACCTAATAGTGCAGCAGAAGAATTATTCAAGGACCTTACTACACTTTGCCAGTTTGTACAGTCTTAAAAGGTGTTAATTTTTTGTGCTGTTAACATTCTGCATTGTCATTTTCTAAGTAGTGATAATATAAATAACCCTCAGCATTTTCACACAATTTCCCCCCAGAAGTACACTACAATAGTCTAGACTCTTTTTGTGAAATGAGGACAATAATACCTGCTGTGACCCAAGATCCCTGTGATTGATTTATTAATGTTTGTTAGACACACTGAGACATCTGGATTAAAGGCACTTTAGAAGTACAAGGCTCACTAGTATTTATTTTATTTTACTTTTCATTTTGATTGGAATACAGAAATAGTATGTTAAAGTTGAACATTTTAGTCTTGAAATCCTTGAGGAGGTCATTTGATCATCGCAAATATCACAGTCTATGTCTTTTATACAAACTGTAGCTTAATACAAAAAGCCTTTACAATCTCTGTGTGAAATAGAATTTTAAAATGCTGACTGGAAACTAAAAAAATCATAGATGAAAATTCAATTAACAAACCAAACTGCTTGATAATTGAAGTTATTAAATGCCATAACATGAAAATTGTTTAAATATATAACTAGAACAACATTAAATGTTGGAATGTAAAATGATGTTATCTCAACATCTGTTTCTATATTCATCTGAAATAGTATTTAAGTCTTTGGGTAGCTGGTCTAAGGTGACTCAGCTTCACAATATCCCATGACCTATATAGCAGCAGGGAACACTAAAGCAGTTTTACTATAGCCCAGATGGCATAATTCCTAAATCATATACTAATCAGGTACAACACATGTGAGAATATAACAATTCCTTGCTGTAGAAAGCGTGCAATGACAAAAATGAATAAGGGTAAATTAATGAGATCTAATTGGAAGCCTAATACGTATACTGAAAGATCTATATTGGAAGTCATATAATTGGAAATTAGATATTTTATTAAATTCACTGAAGAAAAAAAGTGATTAAAATGCATCAAAACCAATAGATAGCCTCCTACAAAACTAAAATTTATATACAATATAATTTTCTTAATACATAATAATGTAGATATCACTTTAAAAAAAATAAGGTAGAAGAGGTGAATTGTGAGCAGCTCTCATTATGGAAATGTTTTATATAGATTTCTGGGCAGAAGCCTCAAGTTATGATAGCAGAGGGTTAGAAATATGACCCTTTAGATTTAATTTTCTTCCTGAATATGAATAAGATCTTTAATAATAGTTCTCATTCTGGCGTTTAGCAGTTTGGAATATAATAGGGCAAACAATAAGCTTCAACCATTCTAGCTTTAAGAGATAAAACTAGTATGATCAGTTAAAGAATTCCAATAATTTAGATATTCCAAATAAACACCTGAATGAGAGAATGCACTGAAGTCAGTAGCTCTGTTTCTATATTATAGTCAGCATCCTTTGAAGAGTCTAGAGATGGACCTCATTCGGGGGCTTTGACCTTTGGTTTCTGTAATTGAAGTCTCATGGTCATAAATGTAATCATATGATTTTTTTTTTCTTCTTAACCTTCATCTGTGTTCATACTAAGATTTCATTTATGAGCATAAGATAGTAATGAGTCCTGACTACTCACAAAGCTACCCCTTAGCAAACAGAAATAATTCTGCTTAGTAACAATATTAATTATTGCTAAGTTATGTGCTGTGACTGCAACATGAATTTGAAATGACTATAGTATGATTAGCATAAGAATTGAGATGACTGTGATGTGTAAGAAGTGAACTGGAAAGTGGCTGTGCTGCTGTTTATTGTAAATGTATCAAAATGATGGTTCACTTATTCTTTTAAACAAGTTCAGAGCATAAAATAGGTGACAACTGGAACAATGCACTAGTTCTAATTGTAGATTTTGTGAATGGCAAAATGATCATTCAGAGTTAAGATAAAAGAATCTTCCTTTGATTCACTCGTATTGTTGTATGAGGTAATATTTTTCTTTATAATTTTAAATACTTAAGCAGTCCTTTTTATTCTTAACTTTTGTATACTCTAATCATACAAAATACTATTATGAGAGGACTTTTGGCTATTTAGAAAGCATTATCAATCTACTGCCTTGAGGAATCCCCTTTTATATTTTTCATTAAGAGATTAACTATTTTAGTGCAGATTAGGCACTGAATTTTGGCATGAATATTGACCTCAGAAAAAGTTTATTTTTTAAAAAAATATTTGTCATTGATGTGGGGACACTGTCATGTCAAAAGAGTTGGTTAAATAGTGAAATTATTTATACAATATCTAAGTTTGGTGGGTTTGCTTGGTGATAATATTTTTACATTTTAACTTAAGTATCTAAAAATAAGTGTTCATATTGAAAAAGAAAACCATTCTATTCAAAGACTAAGAGGTATCTTTGTACATGCCATCATAGTGCAGAACTGTGTGAAGAGCATCAATGCATCCATCCGCAGCTCAGTACAGAATGGAGAACACGGATGTGTGAAATAAGTGCCCTTTATTCTCCCTGTAAGTTAGAGCCAGTTATTCAATTACACATTAAGACCTTCTCCGACAACCTTTATAGGTCATTCAAAAAATAAAAATAAAATTTCTGTTCCAAGTGAACTGTTATTATGAAAGCCTCAAACTTTGCTCATGCAACATATCCTTCTGGTAACAACCCATTACACAAACCCGGTGGCTTACTGATTGTAAGAGGTCAGCCATATACAGAGATAGGCTAGTGTTCGGGGCCCATATTTCAGAGATCAGGCTAATGCTTTCGGGAGTCATTCCCTCCTGCGCGTGCAGGGAAACGAGAAACGCGTGAGCACTCGCTGCAAAACCAGTCAGAGAGACCTGAGTCGCACAGGGAAAGACGAGCATTACGTGCACGGTTGGAATCAGCAGCAAGTGCCAGGGGAAAGGAAGTGGTCCACAGCCCGGGGAAGCAGCTGGACGGGACTCCTTCCAGCCTCTCGCAGGCAAAGTTTGCAGTTAAGTGAGCTGGGAGCGGGCTGTGCAGCAGCCGCGCGCTGGGCTCGCCGGGCTCGCCGGCTCCCGCGCGGCGGAGCAGAAGCGCAGAGGCAGCCGCCCGTGCGCCGCAGCGCGGGGAGAGGAGACTTCGCGCCGCAGCCGGCTGGCCGGGGCGGACCGGGGACCCCGAGGCTGCCGCTCTCCCCCTCTCTCCCCGCCGGCTCCCGTCACCCAGCAGGCCAGAAAGGCTACGGTGAATTTTCTTTCCGGTCTCCACTGAGGTTCAAAGATTAAGATTCTCAGCCCGGACCTTGCGCTATCCGCCCCCTCCGCTCCGCCCTTCTTGCCAAGTCCCTGCCAGCATCGCCGGGCGTGCTGTCTGCTTAACGCGCTCCGGGGATCGGCTGGCCCGTCCTCCCGTCCGAGCGGTGACCACACATCTCCGGCCTCGGACTCCGGGTGCCCTCCCATCTCTTTGCATTGGGGTCCCTCCATTTAGTAGAAAAGGCAAGTGCGACATGTGCGCCCAGATAGGAGCGCCCTCGGCGTCCCCCATCTCCGCCCGCCGCGGGGCCCGAGGCTCCCTGGACCGGCGCCCGCTCACCCGCCGCCCCCCCCCCCCCCCCCCCCCGGCAGCCGCCCGTACCCGCCAGGCCGCCGGATCGGCGATCGCTGCCCGATCGCTGCCCAGAGCGCGCGGAGCCGCCGCCAGCACCGCCCGCGACCGCCCCAGGCGCGCCGGCTCTCCCCTCCCGGCGGCCCCCGCTGGGCATGCTCCGTGCGCCTCCGGGAGCCCGGCTCTCTCGGGGCCGGGATCGCTTCTCCGTGTTTTCGCTGCGGCCGAGGGGGCGCCGGGGAGGGGGGGGGGGCGGGGAGACAGTCGGCGCCCTGTTCGGCGCCCCCCTCCTTCGCGTGCGGCTGCCGCACCGCAGGATGCGGGCCAATCAGGGGCCGGGGGCGGGTCCGCGGCCGTCACGCCCTCCCTCTGGGCTTATTGAGAGTTATATCAAGAAATTCAGTTCAGAGCGAGGAGAGGGAGAAGCAGAGAGGGGCAGAGGAGAAGCGGGAGAGGGAAAGCGAGCCCGACGGGAAGAAGCGCCCCGGAGTCTCTCCAACCAGCAAGAGATGAGCAACCCATTAGGAATTTTTCGGGCCGCTGTCACCCCGGAGAGCAGCCCGAGAAGCACCATCACCCCAACTCTGACATTTCCTACAAGAAGTTAGAGACTCCAGCGGCGCTGACATCGGAGGGGAACGGTATGCTGGATGCCGTGGAAAATACCCCTTAGCTGGAGAAGTGCGACTGGATGCTGCGCGTGCTAAATACCAGAAGAGCCCAGACCCCCTGGGTAATAGAGGCGGGATGTGGAGAGAACAAGGACCAATCTGCGAATTTGTTCTCCGGAGCTGCTAATTTGCCAGCCCGAAGCAACACATTTCACCGGGAGGAAACGCTGTGCTGTTCCTGATTTTCTCCCCAAACTGGTGCTACCAGATGCATGGCTTTCTATGTGTGGGAACAAATCGTTCCTAACTGCAGCATACCGGGAAAGGGGAAAGGTTGAGGCAACTCACGTAAGTGTAAAGTTTCGCATGCACCATTGTAAATGCCGTGTTTAGATATGTCCTCGGGTGTAGACGGGGGATGTTTGTAATTGGGTAGACGGTTGGGGCAGAACTCACCTACCAGACTGTATCTGCATCCCTACCTGCATCACCCTGCCGGAACTAATCACGGGCATCAGCTAGCGTGCAGCTAATGCAGATGAGATCAGAGCCTGGGAACTGACCAGTTTTACTCAAGTGGGTGGCTGTCTGGAGCCTTGCACCCGTTTACATTGCAGTTAGGGGGGCATCTAAACAGGAGCCTTTTAACCTGCATGATTGGGTTGCAGTATTTATGTGTGGCAGATGTTACTAATATTATAACAGAGACCAGGGTTAAGAAACTGCATTTCCCCCCTCTTTTAGGCTCTGTAGAAAATATCGTGCTGTTACATGGAAATATTGCTGCGTTTCACATACACCTTGACACTCTCTTTCACCTCTAGGATATAGGAATCTTATATTATTATTTTGTAAAGTTTTAACGTGCTGATTAATGCTGATGGGGTTAATTTGGCAACCTGGAGAAATGAGAGCAAGGTCTGGATAAGACATTTGAAGTCTCGGTGTTGTGCTTTCAGGCAATACGGATCTGTAGTGGCCGGTGACTATTGCTGCTGATGCTGCAGCATGTCCGATGCTTGTTTCCCAGGAAGATTGTGTTAGAAGGCAGTTGAAGAACTGGAGGGAAAGAAAGACATAGTCCTTTTAGAAGAAAAAAGAAAAAGAGAGAGAGATATGACTCTGTGGCAGAGAAGAAAACTCATCACAGTTGACATGTGACAAAGCAGTTAGCAGGAAGCACAACTAAATACTGTTTTTCACTTCCACCTTAAAAAAAAAAAAAAAAAAAAACTAAGGGAGGTGGGTTAGAAACCAGGAGGCAGGTAAGCCAGGGGGGAGGGGAGGAGGAGAACAAGAATGCATGTTGTGAATTAAATGGTGTCCTGAAAAACAGTGTGGGTGAACACAGGTAAAAATAGCAGCTGTCCTGAATTCAAAAGTAGATGATTTTATTTCCTCTGGCCAAATGCAACAAGCAGGGGATGTTGAGTGTTTTTAGCCACAGAGTTAACTTGCAAACAGTGGCAGCGCAAACTGCCATGTTTACTAATATGCAGTGGAAAATGTGCTGTAATGTTTCGTGACTGTGTGTGTCTGTTTACTGAAGAATAATATTGTCTATACAATTGTGTTGACAGTGGCTGTCTCCAAATAAGCGATGAGATGTAATGCATCCTCCCGTCCATGCACGCTTCCTCTTGCAATTCGTGCATCCTTCCTCAGTGGGAACCTTTAAACCCTAAAATTCGGGAAAAGAAAATAAATACATTATCATGGACCTGAGGGATTTTTACCTGTTGGCTGCTCTGATTGCCTGTTTAAGGCTGGATTCCGCAATAGCTCAAGAACTTATTTACACTATTAGAGAGGAATTGCCTGAAAATGTGCCCATAGGAAACATACCAAAGGATCTGAACATTTCTCACATCAATGCTGCCACAGGGACCAGTGCCAGCCTCGTCTACAGACTGGTTTCTAAAGCTGGGGATGCCCCTTTGGTGAAAGTGTCCAGTAGCACTGGGGAGATTTTCACCACCTCCAATAGAATAGACAGAGAGAAACTCTGTGCTGGAGCCTCTTATGCTGAGGAGAACGAGTGTTTCTTTGAACTTGAGGTGGTGATCCTCCCCAATGACTTTTTCAGGCTGATCAAAATAAAGATAATTGTTAAGGATACCAATGACAATGCCCCCATGTTTCCATCTCCTGTCATCAATATTTCAATTCCAGAAAACACTTTGATCAACAGCCGCTTTCCAATCCCATCAGCAACAGATCCTGACACAGGCTTCAATGGTGTTCAGCATTATGAGTTGTTAAATGGCCAGAGTGTGTTTGGACTGGATATTGTGGAAACTCCGGAGGGAGAGAAGTGGCCGCAATTGATTGTTCAGCAAAACTTGGACCGAGAACAGAAAGATACCTATGTGATGAAAATCAAAGTAGAGGATGGAGGCACTCCACAGAAATCCAGCACGGCCATCCTGCAGGTCACAGTAAGTGATGTCAATGACAACAGGCCGGTGTTTAAGGAGGGGCAAGTGGAGGTCCATATCCCGGAGAATGCTCCGGTGGGCACCTCTGTCATTCAGCTCCATGCCACTGACGCAGACATAGGCAGTAATGCTGAGATCCGGTACATTTTTGGTGCCCAGGTTGCCCCTGCTACCAAAAGACTCTTTGCTTTAAATAATACTACTGGGCTGATCACTGTCCAGAGGTCCCTAGATCGAGAGGAGACGGCCATTCACAAAGTGACAGTGCTGGCTAGTGATGGCAGCTCCACTCCGGCTCGAGCCACCGTCACCATCAATGTGACTGATGTGAACGATAACCCGCCTAACATAGACCTCAGGTACATCATAAGTCCCATCAATGGCACGGTGTATTTATCCGAGAAAGATCCCGTCAACACCAAGATTGCCCTAATTACAGTTTCTGATAAGGACACAGATGTGAATGGCAAAGTGATCTGTTTTATTGAAAGAGAGGTCCCATTTCACTTGAAGGCAGTGTACGACAACCAGTATTTGTTAGAGACCTCCTCTTTGTTGGACTACGAGGGCACCAAAGAATTCAGCTTTAAAATTGTTGCCTCTGATTCTGGGAAGCCCAGTTTAAATCAGACTGCCCTGGTAAGGGTTAAGCTTGAGGACGAAAATGACAACCCACCCATTTTCAACCAGCCTGTAATTGAGCTGTCAGTTTCTGAAAACAACCGACGTGGGTTATACTTAACAACTATTAGTGCCACAGATGAGGACAGTGGGAAGAACGCAGACATTGTTTACCAGCTTGGACCGAATGCCTCCTTCTTTGATCTGGACCGAAAGACAGGGGTTTTGACAGCCTCCAGAGTCTTTGACAGAGAGGAACAAGAGCGGTTCATTTTTACAGTAACTGCCAGGGACAATGGGACCCCTCCCCTCCAAAGCCAAGCGGCGGTGATTGTTACTGTTCTGGATGAGAATGACAACAGCCCCAAGTTTACTCATAATCACTTTCAGTTTTTTGTGTCTGAGAATCTGCCAAAGTATAGTACTGTGGGGGTGATCACAGTCACAGATGCAGATGCTGGCGAGAATAAAGCTGTGACTCTTTCCATTCTGAACGACAATGATAATTTTGTGTTGGATCCCTATTCCGGAGTCATCAAGTCGAATGTCTCATTCGACAGAGAGCAGCAGAGTTCCTACACTTTTGATGTCAAAGCGACCGATGGAGGACAGCCACCCCGGTCCTCTACAGCGAAGGTAACCATCAACGTCATGGACGTCAATGACAACAGCCCCGTTGTCATCTCCCCACCGTCTAACACTTCTTTCAAGTTGGTGCCCCTCTCGGCCATCCCTGGCTCGGTGGTAGCAGAAGTGTTTGCCGTGGATATCGACACCGGGATGAACGCTGAACTGAAGTACACAATTGTGAGTGGCAACAGCAAAGGCTTGTTTCGGATTGACCCGGTCACCGGCAACATCACCCTGGAAGAGAAACCGGCGCCCACCGACGTGGGCTTGCACCGTCTGGTGGTCAATATAAGCGACCTGGGCTACCCCAAGTCCTTGCACACACTTGTGCTTGTTTTTCTGTATGTGAACGACACGGCTGGGAATGCCTCCTATATCTACGACTTGATTCGCAGGACTATGGAGACCCCCCTGGACAGGAACATAGGGGACAGCAGCCAGCCCTACCAAAACGAGGACTATCTCACCATCATGATCGCCATCGTGGCCGGTGCCATGGTGGTCATCGTCGTGATCTTCGTCACCGTGCTGGTGCGCTGTCGCCACGCGTCCCGGTTCAAAGCAGCTCAGAGGAGCAAGCAAGGGGCTGAATGGATGTCCCCCAACCAGGAGAACAAGCAAAACAAGAAAAAGAAGAGAAAGAAAAGGAAGTCTCCCAAGAGCTCGCTGTTGAACTTTGTGACCATCGAAGAGTCCAAACCCGATGACGCGGTGCACGAACCCATCAATGGGACCATCAGCCTGCCGGCTGAGCTGGAGGAGCAGAGCATAGGAAGATTTGACTGGGGCCCCGCTCCCCCGACCACCTTCAAGCCTAACAGCCCTGACCTGGCCAAGCACTACAAATCCGCTTCTCCACAGCCTGCTTTCCACCTGAAACCAGACACTCCAGTGTCTGTGAAAAAGCATCACGTGATTCAGGAACTCCCTTTGGACAACACCTTTGTCGGGGGTTGTGACACCCTGTCCAAACGCTCCTCCACTAGTTCAGATCACTTCAGTGCCTCAGAGTGCAGTTCCCAAGGAGGCTTCAAGACAAAGGGCCCCTTACACACCAGACAGGTAAACGAGCACTTCTACTGGTCTATAAGTACTGCATACAAGTGCCCAGTCAACCAGTACTAACGTGCCAGTGTGTCTGTTGTTTTGGTCGAACTTTAGCTTAGTTATAAAGGGGGAAGGGGGACCCAAAAAAAAAAAACTTGACCCCTTTTTCTCTTCCTCTGAGGCTCAGTCAAGATTTTTTTTTTAGAACAGCTTTGAAATTTCTGAGTTCTGAGAATTATTTAACTTCCCAGTTTGCTTCAAAAGGCAAAAGATGAAAAGAGGAAATGATTCCAAAATGTCCCAAGATAATGTTGGCTGAAGAAGAAAACCTGTCTTGATATGCCAAATTCTGCTCCTGGGGTTCCCAAATTCAAGATTTTCATATTACCTTTTCATCTGAAAAGTCACCTTCAAATCTCAAGTGTTAAATGATGTTTGAAGGGCTGACTGTAATTATATTGGAGCTGTGGTTGCTAAAGGGGTTAACTTTTTTTTTTTAGTCTCTAAACAAGATGGTAGAATAGTAAATGTACATCAGCTGTGAAGCACATGGTTGTGGAGAGATTGCAACTAAGCCATATAGGTCCTCTTTTTGTTTTCAGATGATTTTATTGTAATATAGTAAGTTGGGTATTTCATAGAAAGGCTTGCAGATTGTCCACAATGGCCAAAGTACTCTTGCAAAGAAAAAAAAATAAGAAGGAATGTTGTCTCCCTAATTTAACTCATTTATACAGAAAAAAATGAATCCATTGTAAATATTCTCTCATCTTAGTAATGCATAAGTGATCTGTCATAACTCATTTTAAACTGTGAAATATGGCATATGAAGAGGGATTAAGAGGCTGAGAAACTCATATTTCAACCAAATCCAGAATTAGTTTTTCTTAGGTCTAATAATTCCTTGTTAATAAAGATTTAAGTGCAGCGCTGTCTAATTTATTTCACTGGTGCTTGTCTGTTGCCATGAAATTTGAGTGTCAGTAATAGCCTGTAGATGGCACTAGGGTATCATGTGCTTGCGCTGGCCAGGTGCCAATCCCGCAGTAGCAAGGAGAGGGGGGAGGGAGATATCAAGCTGGTACCACAGCCAAAGATACCTTTTATTTAATGATAGTTGCTCTGGAGCAACTGGCATTTCAGTTCGTTTGCTTGCTCTTTTGTGATTAGCTCTCACCACACCACCTTTCTAGCATTTCGCAATCCATGTTCGATCTTTGTTGGTACTGAGTCCATCTATGGTGCTGACCCATCTGAATTTGTTAAAAATAAGGAACATATAGATTTCAGAAAGTACAGTAAAGCAAAATAAATGTGCATGTAGTATTTATTGACAGTAATTGGTTAGTGATTGGAAATTCAAGAGTATCCCCCTCCCCCAACACACACATACACACCGTTTTGTGTGTGTGTGTGTGTGTGTGTGTGTGAGTGAGGTGGGGTAGAAGGTCTTATTGAAACTCCATTTCCTTCTCATCTTCTAGTGTTTATTGCTCTGGAGGGACTTTAAGATTTTGTGGTTATTTATAAAAATAATTTTGACAATGAATCACATAGATACTCCCAAATCATTAAATGGGTTGACTATAATTATACAACTAAAATCTCCATTTCTTAAAGAATAAAAAAAACATAGAGAAATTTAAAAGTATACTTAGAGCTTAAATACATAGGATGAAAAGAATTAAAGAGTCAGTATAGATGTTCTAGTGAGAATGTGAAGTTGAAAGATATAACTGGAAGTTGGAATGACTTAGTTTCATGTTAAATTTATCATCTTTTTAAAAGAAGCTGAAGTTTTAAAATTTAGAATATTTCTGAGATTACTAAAGGTTTATAAAAGTTGATAAGTAGTTAATCATGGTAAGAAAAAGTAATTTATGAAACTACATGAGTTTAAGTATAAAATAACTATTTTAATGAAATGAAAGAAAACGGCTTTTTATTATTGACTTTTAATGTGACGGTCACTCACAATATACTGATGATATTATATGATTTGCATAATACATTAAAAAACTAACATGATTTAAACTTTAAATATAAAACAGAAATTTGTTTTCCAAAGAAACATATTGATATTCTTCCCACATCACCTTTCTTTCATTTCATTGTAGCATTAATATACAGACCCACTTTTTCTGACTTTGCCCCAAAAGTTGAAACTATAGTACAGTGACATAAATGTTAAGTGCATTTTAGCAAAATATGGCAACGATCTTTTGTCGAGACAAAGTTAGCCATAACAATATGTGTTTGTATGATGTCATCTTTGAAATAGGATGCTGAGTAATTCGCTAACTGGAACTGAAGTGCAATTTAGACATTTCTTGAAACCAAGTGTCACTGTTCAATTCTCATTGTAGGCATTTTGATGTTCATATATAGCTATAATTTGCTATTATGATAAAAGCTATTGTAATGGCTGTGCTTATACCTTTTAGAAGTTTTCATGATGAGAAAGAAAAATTTTGACGTTGGAGAAAAGGAATAGTGGGAGAAAGGTGATAGCAACATGTACAATTTTTGTATGAAAAGGCATAGTTTCTATGAATGAGAACATAAATCATATACTACTCTTTTAATTTTTCCCACTGAACTCTATAATTATTATCTGGAGACACTCTATTTAAAACTAAAAGGTAAACATTCTTTTTTCTTAGTTTGTTTACTTCAACTAGTGGCTTTCATACTAACTGTTCTTCTGAAGCTACACAATTTTGAAAAGTAAGATTTATTGCCGCAAAAGCTTTCAAAGAAATTTGTAAAGTTACATATAATCTATGAAGATTTTTAGTTTCGTAGGCTCAGATTGCTGTTAACAGGAACACCTTTCACTAATGGCGCTCATTGATGCCTGGGTAAAATGCCAGATTCTTGAGTAAGGGTTACCAAACTCAAATACTATTAATTTGTATTGTATATACAGTGGAAACATAATGTCTGACTTTTACACCATGAGTTTGCTTGTAGCATTGATTGTTACCCGCCGCCCCCCCCCCCCCGACACACACACCAAACCCCCTTGTTTTCCCTTGTAGGACCCTGCAAAGGTCGTGTGAACCAACTGTAAGCCACATTCCTCATCCACTCTATTTTACTAAGCTTTTCTTTTCCTTGTGTTTAACTGATCTGTCCCTGAATTATCCACAGATTATTTTTTATGAGTTTTTGGAAGTACCCTTAGCATTCACAGATTGAGTGAAATTTCTTTTTTTTTTTTTTTCAAGCAAGATTGTATCTTGGTATGTATTCATAAATAAGCAAAGTTCATTGCTATAGAGTTAAGAGAAGAATTCCAGTAGGGCTTTAAATAATAGCAAGAATTGTTGTATTTTCTCTAAAAGAAAAAGATGTTTTTAATAGATATGCCTTTTAAAATATGATAGTATCAAATTTTAGGCTTTCTCAGAATCAACTGTAGGGTTTCTTAAATTGGGTTATTGGGCCCTTCTCCCAGAGGTCCTGCTTTGGTACCTCTGGGGTCCAGCCTGAACATTTACATCGCTGACAAGACCCTAGGTGATGCTGATGCTGCTAGTCCAGGGACCACACTTTGAGAACCACTGTGTCAGCATATTGGAAGGAGAAATGGCAGCCTGTTTCCCTCTCAGATGACCCTTTCCAGAGGACCTGTTTTTCCACAGCCCAACTCTCAGCTCACTATTGACAGCCGTTTATTGTCGCTGGAGGCTTTACAGTAAGCTGTTTCCCAACCCAGTTGACAGCTTTAGGGAATTAATTTTCTTGGCCCCAGTGTGCTTTTTATGGGGGTGTAAATGAAAATGTTAAAGGGAAAAAAGTGACCTGTTTACATTTGACAACTTCTTCCAGTCATGAAGTAATCTGTGATAGTTGCACTAGAGTTTGGTCCTGGGTAAACAGTCATGTTTCATTTTCTAAATGAAATGCTCATTTTAGAGCGTAAACATCCTTACTTTACTTTTCATAATCTAGAGTAAGTATTTGCTAGCATATACTTTTGTGTGCATATTGAAGAAATTATACATTGAAAATGTGTATGCATGCGGTTCTCAAGTGTATACATGTACTTTTGCAGTATAAAGGGAATTGCTTCTATTCCCAATCATTTAGAGATACTATATTACATTTATGATTACTTTTCATTTTTGAGTAATCCCACTACAACCACTACTGAAATGCTGTTATGTCATGTAAAGTGCGCGCAAGACAGTCATAGAATTGCTATTTAGAAGTGTGAGAAAGAAAAATGCAATTGAAACTGAAGGAGGAAAATGTTAACTAATGTGAGGCTAGCAAAAACTTGAAGGTATTTTAAACTACTAAATTTTGCAATATATTGCGATGGTTGAACACAGGTGGCATTTGGAGAAAAATGACTCCCCAAATTGCAAATTATATTTAAACTGTTGCCAGTTGTTGGTTTTTCTTTCTACTCCTTCCTTTTGGCTAAGTGCTCTTATGATCATGGGATCTGTTTATGAGATAGAGGATACCCAGATCCCTTAGATAATGATTCAGGAATCTGAAACATGGATGGGCCACTAATTCAAACTGGCTACCTTTCCTCTTGGGTTTGTGAGACAAATATTTGATATTTTTCACAGCTTGCTACACCTAAGCTGTAACATTTAAGATAACTTTTAGTATGTCTTGCTAATAACCTTAAGGAGGGTCAAATAAAAAACTGCCATTCTATTAAGCATAACCGTGCCTACAGATTCCTGAACATTTATTCATATAGAGAAAATAAATTTCTGTAGTCAAAATATTCTATTATCTTGTTTTCTAAATTCTGTTGCAATTAATTCTATATATAGAAACACTGTCAATTGAAGTTCCCTCAGTTTCAGATGAGTCATCCTTATGGTGTCGCAGAACAGGCTTTGGCATCATTATCATTACCTTATAAAATATTGTACTTGAAATAATGTTATATTCTTATGGCATATGCATAGTGCTATTAGTTAAATATTCAGCCTCTCATAATAGCACAAATTAAGTTAAAGTATGTGAAATAGTAAAAAAGAGAG